CTATAACAACATTATAAATTAATAGTTGTACAATGACTTTATTAGCAAGAAACTAACAAAATATTTGACTTATCTTTTTATAATTTCAGTTGGGTTAGTTCATTAGTAATCAAATTGGCCAAACAAAGAGAAAATGCTTAAATACGATGACATGATACCGAAATAACGGTCTAAATTTGACTTCTACATCAAGATTATCAACCAACCCCCAAAATAATATATTTTAATATAGGATATACAGAAATCGCATACTGTATGTTAATTAAAAATGCAATAATTAGATAACAGTGAGATGATCTTAGGCTTGAAAAACTTTTCGATAACTTACGTAATTAGAGAGGCAAATGAGTCCAAAAAAAATTATAAAATTTAAAGAGATGAAAGACATCGACCACTGATCAAACAAATGATGGCGCATCAAGCCGACCCACCACTATACACACAAAGATACAACATTAAATAACAATACCGAACAAAGAAAATTTAATTTATACTTATGTGGCTGTAAGCAAAGTTGAGCTTTAGTTTAACATGTACTGATATACTATTAACGACGGCGAAATTGCGCTACAGCTTGGTGGTTTCGTTAGTGCAAGACAAAAATTTCAAAGTAGGTTGGTTAGAATGGTGGAGGCTATTTAATTTTCAGTTTTCTTCCCTTGAAAAAAAGAACAAATTTACATTTAGCTTTCTTATGTAAAAGTCAATGTAACCGTAACTCGTTTTTTTTCAAACGCACCATCAGGTTGAAGTTGTTGAAGCGCATACTTAGCAGTGTTAAGATATTATAGATCATTTATATGAATATTTTTCTATCTTTCTAATGAAATTAATATTAATACAGACCATAGAGTTGGTTCGATATTGTTGAACTAAGATTTTGATACTTATGGATCTTTGAATGATTGAGCATATTTTTGAGTAAATCCTAGTATTTTTGGTAATTCCTTTTTATTTTCTTAAACTTTCACAAATCGTATTCAGGAAAAAAACTACCATTGCAGAAATGTTATACTTCTGCACTTTTAAATAAAAATTTAGAAGATAAGAGATCCTTCTCTTGTGTTCTTGTTATTGTTATTTGGGAAGTTGGTGAAACTTCCTAGTACGACTTTCTTTTCTCCTACGCAAATGAATTTATGGTTTATGATTTTATAACATTAGAAAAAGAAAAAAAACTGTCACAAGGGATCCAGATTTTCAACGAGACATATGTCTCTTCGCAAGAAGTTTTCGCAAGTCACAAGGTATCCATCTTTTCAACGAAACATATGTCTCTTGGCGAGAAGTTTCTGCGAATATCACCACGTGTAAAACATCCTAATTAAAGCCCAAATTAATTATCCGATGATATCAAACCCAGAGAGCTATAGCAAGCTTACGTCTGAGCTTTCGATAATTTTGTGTGCAAGATGCTTAAGTGTGTGTATACGATAACTTTTTCTGTTCTTCAGCACTTTATGACTGGAAATGTCGTAAAAATGCATACAAATTCAAAGTTTAGTACTGAACCTTATTAGTAATATGCGAAATACGATTCGTAGTTGTAGCTACCTATAGCGTTACAAAATCTGACAACATAATATCTTTAAGACAAGACAACATGGAGTAAGATTTTATCATGGTTCTGGTGAACAAATGTGTACACTATGTCTTTTCGTCTAGAATCGTTTTAGTTGGCTTATAAACTAATAATTTCAACCATACAAAAATCGGTGTGCTAATCTTCTGTATTGATTGTTTCCTCTATATTCGCTTGCGACTAATTCCGGTTTAAGGATACAAATAAGTGACGGTTTTATAATTATAAAGTGAAGATGAAAGAGGACAAAGATTAGTCACGTTTACATCACTATTGAGTATTCACAAGGCTTGCTTTTGCCCTTTACGAAATTGTTTCTATCGACACTTATAGATTCTCCACACAAACCATAACATGTGGTATCTTGTTTCTTCCATAATCTTATAATTTGCCGGAGCCCGTTTAATCATTAGATTGCGAAAATGCGCATAAGAAAAAGCAGTAGACCTGCAATAAAAAATAATCTAATTATCTACACATCAATTTTTTTGAAAGTTATCGTCTCCTTTACCTTCAGTGAACCAAATTATCTTAAAAGTTGGCTAATTGGCCTATTGAGAGGTGTACAAATTACATATTTTCTTATATTTACTGTTATTTTACTCTGTATAAACAAGTTTTAAAAAGTGTAAGTTATTTCATGAACACTTTTGAAAGAAAAAAAAAATTCTAGAGATCTTTTCTCCAACCTTAAAATCAGAGAGTTGATAACATGGTTGGCATTTTCCCAAATATGGTAAGGCCTCATCGTAATATTATCTTTTTCACAATGGGCTTTTTGATGGCCCATAATTTCAATAAGAGAGTGCTCAATTTCTTAATGACCGGTCCACATAGATTAAGATCATGTCCGACTAAAAAAAATATCACCGATATTGACATCTCAACTATCTATCAGTATCTTAGTTAACAGTTAATGAATTCATATAATAATGTAACTCATGACCAACAGCCTTGGAACATATAGTACAATTGCAACCAGTGTTCAAGTTCCAAGGACTCAAATTTCAAGTTTTAATCAAGTAATTAACTGGATAAGACCTCAGAAAACGAAATGTAATTTTAATTATATGGAGTATTTAATAAGATTCAAAAGAATTAGATGAAATACTATAATGTAAGTGAAGCCGTGGTTAATTACATATGTTTATTATTATCGGCACTAATCACTATCACTTTCTGTTCTCTTTCATGTGAACTTCATAAGTCTCAAATGTATCTACGGTTCTAAATAGATCAATGATTAAGATCATGTTAATGGCTTAATGCAACATTTGAATTATCTTCGTAGATTGTTTTCCGATAACTAAACAAGCATTTTTTGACAAAATAAACCCCATGACTAAAGTGGAAAGCATTTTTTAGGAGTAAATGGTATGGTACACCTGACGTTTGATGGTTGACATCTGGCAAGTAAGACTTTTCTTTTTAAAAGTTTCATTTACACAAGAAAACTAAAAACATCAGATGATGTGTGTTGGAGACTCGAGATCTGATTGGTCGAAAACAAAATCAGTGATGCCCACGTGGTCATTGCTTCTTCACCATGTTGTCGCTTTTGGGTCCTACCTAAACTCTTCAGATGCTTTTGACGAATTGACGGTAGTGAATATGGAAATAAATGAAACATTCGTTTCATTGTTGGGCATATGCTGCAAGTCGAATGACCCATGAGTCATGATTATGAAGTTTTATATTGCCAAGTTAAAAGTGTTGCATACTTTTTTTTGGTAAAAAAGTTGCATACTTGCATCAACCATATAGCGAAGTAGCCAATCAAGAACATACAAGATACAATACGAAATGAGAAATGGCCAAAGCTTATTACTCACAACAGAAAAATCAAGTGGCCTCTGTTCTCTACATTTGAAACTGAACCAAAGTATACTTGGCAATATTTGTAAAGCTAAACGTATTCGTAGAGCTATTGGCCTCTGTTCAGTCTAACTTCTTTTTTTAAAAATACTTGTAAAGCTAAGCATATATTTACTTTTTTACAGCAAAATAAATTTGTCATAAAGAAATGGATCAGGTGTACGGAATATAATGCCGAGGAACGTGCGAAAGCATCTCCCAATTGGTAATCTCAGGAGCTGTTTCTGATACTCCCACGTGTACGACTGTCACACATTTGTATATTTCTTTTAATTATCCCATTTACTTAAACAAGTTGGTATATACACATATCACTTGTTGTGATTTGTTTGCTCTCATGATAATAATTGAATGGAAGGAATCATCAAGTCATTCTTAGCTTGGTCATCTTGGAAAACTGTAACTGAAGTTTTAATCGATTTATATGTTGTAGATTACCTATTGAAAACGGCAAATTGAAGAACCGAGTAATTTACAAAGATTTTTGTCACCGACTCACCGTAATGTATTACGCAAATTCTTTTATATATAGTGCAGTACATATTATGGAACATAACGTAATCAAGTACACTTAAGTTTTACCGTATTCGATCTATCTGTTTTACTCTAAGTGATTATAAGGATTTTATACACATATTAGGAAAAACATAAATCCAATAATTTTTTTTGTTTTTATATATCTAACATTATTATTGTCTACGTAAAAATAATTTAAACAATGATAAAAAAATCGAACAAAACTTATTTGCTTAAACATCATTTGTAAAAAAAACAGAAGGAATATTAATCAACAAGTTTGCTCACTCTTTGGTACATCTTGCCTTATTTGGAAACTTGCAACAGATCTAAATATGCAAACAGAGCAGAATATCCGTAACTCCAAGTTCCTGTCTGACACGTGCCCAACAAAAGTACTTTTGTGTTTTATTTTTGTAGTTTATTGATATAGAAGAAAATACTGTCATAGTATTTGTTTAGACGTGTCATATGAGATGACCAATACTGATTCTAAATTCATTTACATTTTTATTTTTATTTTGAATATAATTTTGATTAAAAGCAAGATTAAAGAAACCCCGAAATTCTAATTGAAGTTTTTTTCCGGATTTGGTTCGGGTGCTAGAGAGTTTGTTTGGATAAAAACTAAAGAAGATTAATTGGTTTATTTCATTTCATTTCAATACTTGAAAACTGCGTAAATATGCTTAACCTGTAAATACTTTATAAGGTCTTTATCCGGTCTCATGTGTCCTATAAGAAATAACTAATCATATCTTTAGGTTATAAACTTGGTGCTTTACTAATTAGCCCTCAAGTTGTATCTTCCAATACATCGACTCAGATAGATTATACATATCTTGATTCCTCGAAGAGATTGCTGACTCTTATTTTCCTATTTCCTTTTTCCTTTTCTCTCTCTATCTCTTCTCTTTCTCCTGATTCGTTCTTCTTCATCTTCCTTTGGTCTTGCGAAGATCTAGAAAAACCCTAGAACGGGAAGATCACAAAGATCGAGAGGAAGATCAAAACAGGGTTAAAATTGATGGGGAGAGGCAAGATTGTGATCCAGAGGATCGATGATTCGACGAGTAGGCAAGTCACTTTCTCCAAAAGAAGAAAGGGTCTGATCAAGAAAGCTAAAGAACTCGCTATTCTCTGTGACGCCGAGATCGGTCTCATCATTTTCTCCAATACCGATAAGCTCTATGACTTTGCCAGCTCCAGGTTTCTCTCTTCCTTATCGAATCCCTCCATCTTTTAACATCGATATATAGCATATATGTATATTATGTATATGTATATCCATTAATACATGGGAGTGTTTATGTACTTATAAACTATGGGTTTGAAAGCGTTGGATTAATTCAGCGAGATGTGTTTTGCTGCGTGATTTGCTCATTTGTAGTGTGCATCTTGTGTCAATATAACGTTTGACTTGTTATGCCAAAGCAAACAAAAAAAAGAAGAAGAAGGAAAAAAGCTTATTATAAAGTTTACTAGTTATAAAGATGAACAAACTAATTTAAAGGATGTGTATGTGAGGACATGCTGTGTCTACCTATATAGTTACATTTATGCATATGTGTGTGTTTACACTGGTTGTAAATTGTGTATATGGACTTTGCCAAAATTAGAAACATTTGAAAAGTATAGGACATAGTAACTAAAAGCAAGTATAACGTTGGAAAAGTAAAAGAGTGATATAATTAAGGGAGTGTACAATTTGATATATATATAATTACATTTACAAGTTGATTAATATAAATACATTGTACAATGGATTTTAATGACATAATAAAATTATTACTGTAAAAGCAACTATAATATGATTTACCAATATGTGAACTTTACCTAGAAACTAGACAACAAAGTTTTGAAACTATATGAAAACAAATGTTCGATAGATTATCAAGATGAATGGCATAAGGAAAAGAAAACCGATTTTTAGGGATAATATCTATAGTTCATGTGTATTGTTCATTCTCATATGTCAAAAACACTTATTAGTTGTTTTATATGACACCCAAGTCATAGTGTATGGTATACCATTCATGAATGATATACGCCTGACATATATCTATCTTTCTTTTCTTTCTTATGTCACAACAATCTTAAACCCTTTTTTAGTAACCAATTTGAAAATAGTGAACACTTTGTAAGGAACTGAAGGATTTTTCTTTTCTTTCAGTAATATTAATGGAAATAAAAACATTGTTTTTTACTAGGATATACACACAATGCACTAATTATAAGTTAAAATCTTGAAAATGAACAGTATGAAATCGGCTATTGAACGATTCAACAAAACCAAGATGGAGCAGCAACAACTAGTGAACCCTGCATCAGAAGTTAAGGTACGTATATAAGTAAACAAAATCAGACAAGTGGAGAGGCAATTATACTGATAAAGATATTACTCATGTTTGTAGTATTACACTTGAGTTGGAGAGTTGATGAGTTAGATTGTGTTGCGTGTTGTAGTTTTGGCAGAGAGAGGCCACAACTCTAAGGCAAGAGCTGCACTCATTGCAGGAAAGTCATCGGTACGTACTTGCTTAAATTTGTGGGTAATCATGAGTTTCTAATTCAAACAAACCAGTAAGGCGTGAGTTATCTCATGGCTCTTATATATATACTATAGTATTGGCATCTTCTCATTTGCATTGTGTGGTTCCTAAAAAAAACTCTCTATTTTTTGTTTAAATGTTCAGCGAAATTTTGCTTATGTCTTCTTCTCGTAGCCAACTTCATTTTTGGTGATAATATTTTTACATTTTGAAAAAGGTTCCAACTACATATAGTTAACAAAAATTAAAGGATCTTATGTCCCTTATAAATTCCTTTTGCATATAATGTATATAGTCATGTGATGTGTGTCTTTGTGACTTTGTGTAAACATGTAACTAAAGAAAATATGTATGTATATATCGCAATAAACTTCTGTAATGAAGCAGACAACTAACGGGAGAACAATTAAATGGTTTGGGCGTTAAGGAGTTACACAATATAGAGAGCCAACTTGAAATGAGTTTACGAGGAATTCGTATGAAAAAGGTAATATTTATATATTTCACTAACTATATGCATATATGAATACTCTAGCTTGTTTTGCCTTGGAGTATGATATTCAAACTAATCAAATTTTCTTGGAATCTTGCAGGATCAAATTTTGACCAATGAAATCAAAGAACTAACTAGAAAGGTCACTCTATAATATATACATTACGATTCTAACAATCAAACTTTAGTGTATGTGTTTATACTTTTTATACTTTTAGACATAAGCTAGATTTCGTTTCATCTTATGCAGAGGAACCTTATTCATCATGAGAACCTCGAATTGTCGAGAAATGTACAAAGGATTCATCAAGAAAACATCGAGCTACACAAGAAGGTAAAATAGAAACACAAACTTCAATAATGTTTTTTGTAACTCTCCTAGCTAAAACAAAAGACATCATGGAGAGTTACAAAACTGGTAATTAAATGTATGGCAGGCTTATGCAACGTCAAGCACAAATGGATTCGGACTTCGTGAGCTTGAAGATGCAGCCGATGAGTCCCATGCACAGGTTAGGCTGCAGCTAAGTCAGCCTGAGCAGTCATCAAAGAGCTAAGATCATAAAGATATAAAACTTGTTCGTTCTTGATTCTCAAAAACCTTCAAACATACATATATATATTGCTCGTTAATATATACTTGTCATGCAGGAAAAATTGGGAGTGTAATCATGTCGAAGACAAATCATAGGTTTGATTTTGTACGATATATATCATCACAAGGGAAAGCAATGGAGCAGCTTGTCGATTGTGTTCTTCTAAGCTTTCTCATTTGGTTTTTAAGTATATAATTAAGTAATGTATGAAAATACAAACAGTACTAAGATATAGTTAATTAATCAATTAAGCAGGGTGTTCAATTTGAATCAAATCCAGGAATATTATGTTAGTGAACAATTGCGTATTAGGTTAATTTTATCCTATTGCAACATGTTATTTCCTCATCGATCCATTTCTTCCTATCTCAAGACGTACCTATTTCGAATCATATCAAGTTATCAACTTTTTAGAACGTATCTTACATTCAAAGACTAAAGATTGGTAGTAAAAGCATTTCTTTTATTTTCTTTCGGTTGTAATAGTGCATATATGTACTACGAAAAACAAGAATTTCTCAAATCTTTGATTTGATAGTGACATTTGAATAGAAAGGAAAAAGATTGGACACTAACTACGCAAACTACCCAAAAAATATGTATTAAAATACCAAACCGAACCGGCCCACCAATTTTGTAATAAAAATATACATTTACAATTTTAGTCCATCAATTTTTGCATCCTCTCATTAAAGTCCCATTTCTTCTAATCTACTTCTTTCTTCAGTCTTCAATCACAAAATTCAGAATCTTTACTCAGAGGAAGAAAAAGTAGGTGACCCTCGTTTTCTAATCGATTGCTCAATCATTTTCCACAGCTGAAATTGAATCTGAAAAAGGGCAAACAAAAAAGAAAAAGCTGTAGAATCTGAAATCTGTGTCTGTAGAAGAAAGAGGAAATCAAAGAAGGTTTTCGGGTGTTAATTAATGGCGAAAGCAGGAGGAATAACGAACGCAGTGAATGTAGGAATCGCTGTTCAAGCAGATTGGGAGAATCGAGAGTTTATCTCACATATCTCTCTCAATGTTCGTCGTCTCTTCGAATTCCTCGTCCAATTCGGTAAAAACCTCTCTCCCTGTGTGTTGGGTTTATTGAAAGTTTGGAGCTTTTGAGCTTCAAGTCCGTCAATTTCGTCGTTCATTGCTAAATTTAGAAACTGTTAGGGTTTTGTCAAATACAATGGTTCTTGATGATTAGGTGACGGGTTAGATGCAAAATCTCAGCTTTTTTTATGGGTGGTGTTATCAGATGTCATTTGAATTTGGTTTCGTTTGGGCATTATCTTCTTGGTTCATAGATCCATTTGTATTGATCTCTTTGATCTTCTCAGCTCTATTGCATTTGAGCTAACTTGATTATCAAACTATGAAAGCTTTCAGTTAAAGTCTGTGACTTTATGTAATCAACCACAAAGAGCAAGTTGGTTTCGTTTGGATCTCAGTAATGATCTCTCTTTGATCTTCTCAGCTCTAGTTCCAGCTTGCTTTAGACAATGAGACAATATTTTGTGTTGGTGAAACTTTCTCTTCTTTGAGCTAAACTGATTAGTAATGTCTGCGGCTTGCTTCTGTTTCCTTGTGTTTTTAGAATCGACGACAAAGAGCAAATTAGCATCTTTGAATGAGAAGTTGGATCTGTTGGAACGTCGCTTGGAGATGTTGGAAGTTCAAGTGAGCACTGCGACTGCAAATCCTTCTTTGTTCGCTACATGAAACACCACGCAATAGCACAATACATCTGTTAAAATCTAAAACCAAGTCTGATGAGACTTTGGCTTGAATCAGAAGAAACAACTATCTTTTCTTTGTATGTGTACCATCGAATGATTCTTTCTTTCTTCCCCATAGCTGTTGTAGAACTAGTAGTTTCAGAATTGTGAATCTTTGTCTGTCCATTAAGATCTTTTGAATGACAAATTGTATTACATGATAGCTCTTGGAGTTTTGATTCCTTCTGTTGTTGAGGTTCCCAAATCCTTCTTCTTGCTTTTTCATCAATGAAGGAAGAAAAGCTCAACTATCATCTTTTTCATCATCAATTTGTTTCTGTCTGCATTTGTGTGTGACTCCAATTGTTTTAATAAATAATTTGTATTCTTATTTGGATTCATCTAATTCGCCGAGTCATTGCTGACAATTACTTTGTTTTCTTGCAACCTAAAATGAGATTGTACTATCTAATCTCCAACCAAAACATTATTGGACTGTACGATTTGGAAGTGAGATTAGTGATCTCAAAACCCATTTGAGACCGGTATGGTTCTGAGTTACTTCTGATCATTGAAGACATAAGACAACCGGTGTGGTCTAAACCGGTTTAGCACATTGGATAAGATTAAAACGATACGTAAAGTGCACGTTAAATGTAGTTTCGTTTAGGCTTTTTAAGCACCGAACTTAAGGCGTTACATACTTTCATTATTGTTTCTCTGTTCTGTCTTAAGAAAGTACAGTTTGGGGCAGTTTTGTCTTTTAATAATTCGCTAGTGATCGTACAGGTTTGTAGTCGCTATATATTGATATTGCAGTACAAGCTTCTCTCTCATTCTCCGACAACAACAATTCAACAAATCACAGCTCTCCATCGGATAAGTTTCCCGGCGATCGGAGGTGAGATTTTCCGTTTAGCTCCTTATGCTTACTTGTTGCTTTTGTTTGTTGTAGAAGTTGATTTATAATATTTGATTCTCCGGAGACTTGATTTTGGTCTTGCACATGATCTTCAAAATTCATATGTTTATGTAATAAGGATTATGAAATTGATTAAGCAAAGACCTTAATTAGGGTCTCTGTTTATCTGAATTTGAGTCAAAATCTGGTCAAAGTCGTAGTCGTATATTTGATTTACTCAGTTATCTGCAAATTAATTGGGTTTTGCTAATCGTTTTGAAAGGTGAAATTGAAGTGTCATGGATAAGGAGAAGGATCATGAAGTTGAGTGGCTTGAAGCTCAGAAGATAGAGATTAGCGTTGACTTATTCGCTGCAGCTAAGAAACAGCTTCACTTCCTTGAAACTGTTGATAGGAACCGATGTCTCTACGAAGGCCCTGCTCTTGAAAAAGCCATCTACAGGTTTAAATCTTCTTCCTTTTTTTTGCTTTCGATTTGGTTCTTCTGATTGCATGTTTTACAAAAAAAGTAGATTAAAGTGCTTATATGATCTTTTAGATGAGTGAATCTTTTTAAGTGCTTATATGATCTTAAACTTGTGGAAATTTAAGTGAGATTTTGGTGATTTCAGGTACAATGCTTGTTGGCTTCCACTGCTAGCGAAACACTCAGACTCATCATCAGTTACTGAAGGGCCTTTAGTCCCTCCTCTTGACTGTGAATGGATTTGGCATTGTCACAGGCTTAACCCGGTAAAGCTAAACCGGAATTTGTCTCAGCCACATTACAAAACCTTTTCTTCTCTGTTTGATGTTTTGAGTAATTTGGCTACTGAATCCAGGTGAGGTATAAGACTGACTGTGAGCAACTCTACGGGAGAGTCCTCGACAACGCCAGCGTCGTATCTTCCGTTAACGGAAACTCCAAACTAAAAACTGAAGCTTTATGGAAAACTCTGTATCCTGAGGAACCTTATGATCTAGACGTCTCTGAAAGATCTTCAGCTCTTGAGAATTGCACCAAATATGATCTTGTCTCAGCTGTAAAGAGGCAAAGCCCATTTTACTACCAGGTAGTTAACTTTCAGAACAGATTTGTCATCTAAATCATGCAAATTCGGATCTTTCTCATTCTTCTTGCCATAGGTTTCAAGATCTCATGTAAAGAATGAAACTTTTCTACAAGAAGCTGTTGCGAGATACAAAGGCTTTCTCTATCTGATCAAGAAGAACAAAGAAAAGTCTCTAAGAAGGTTTTGTGTTCCGACTTACGATGTCGACCTTATCTGGCACACGCATCAGCTTCACCCTGAATCTTACTCTAACGACATGGTGAAGCTTCTTGGTAAAGTGTTGGAGCATGACGACACAGACACCGACCGAGGCAAAGGCAAGAAGCTCGACACCGGCTTCACGACCACGACTTCTCAGTGGGAGGAAACGTTTGGGAGAAGGTACTGGAAAGCCGGCGCCATGTATAGAGGCAACACACCTTCACCTCTCACAACTTCTCCTTTTGCTTCTTCTTCTGTTGCTTTGAGTGAAGAAGACAAAGAAGAATTCAAGAAGTTGATCCAGTTTCCAGAGATTGAAGCTGTTGAGGTTCTCTTGGAGGTTGTTGGGGTGAGAAACGTACCGGATGGTAATAAGGGAAAGCTCTCTGTTGTGTTTAGCAAGACACAACCTGACTCTTTGTTCAGTACTGAGCGTAGGCTGTCGATTTTCTCCGAGGTTGGGGAGAAGCAAGTTGCTTTCTTTCAGTGTGAAGCTAGAGGAGAGCTTCGTTTCCAGCTTGTTTCATCTTCACCTTCTAAGTTGTCAGTTTCAAGAGAGCCTAAAAGCTTAGGGTTTGCTTCTTTTTCAGTAAAAGAGTTTCTGTCTCCGGTTGTTACTCATCTCTCTGTTGAGAAGTGGTTGGAGTTAACACCTAGTAAAGCAGATTCTAAACCGATAAGCATCCGAGTGGCTCTCTCGTTTACCCCAGCGACACGGTTTCCATCTGTTTTACACATGGTTGAGTCGAAACCGCCGTCGTGGAAAGGGTCTTGCTTTTTTCCGTTCATCGGAAAGTCTCGTCATGGTAAAAGTTCGACAAGTGTTGTTGATGAAAACGAAACAGAGCTGATCACTCTCCAAATGAGGTATGGCATTCTCTTTTTTCACAATAGAAACGCATTAAGACATGATTTTACATTCTTGATTTTCTCTGTTTTGGGGAACTCTAGTGATGGAGCAGCACTTAAAGATGACCACACTGGTCCAAGGAAAGTGATTGGTGTGACAGACTCTGGTGAAAGTCGTGTGCTTGCAGAGTATAATGGAAGTTTCTGGTCTTTGTTGGACTCGAAATGGTCACTTAAGCAAACGAACGAAGATAATCCAGTCTTTGAGCTTTTGGGTGCTCGAGTGGTGTGTTTTCTCAATCTCAAAACGTAATGATTTCTATGAAAATTCACTGATTAAAAGATGTTTGGTATACAGGTGAAAGTTTTCTCTGGGAGGAAGCTGGATTATGAGCCAAAACACTGTGGAAACCGTAGAAGCGATCAAGATTTCATGACTCTTGTGGAGTTCTCTAAGGAACATCCATATGGAAAAGCTGTTGGATTGTTGGATTTCAGATTTGGTTCCATTGAGGCAAGTGTGCAAGTTTTGGTTTTTAACTTCTCTTTCGCTTTGGTGATATGATGATCATTTTGACTATGTTGTTCGATTTTGCAGGCGAAGGAGAATTGGTTGGTTGTACCAGGAATCGTATCTGCTTTCATACTCAATACTGTTTTGAAGAAAGGAGGATTCGGTGGCGTTAATGCCACGTCCAAAGTGGCACAATGCGATGGTCTCAAAGCTAATGGACTGAAAGAAGAAAGCAAAGAGAGTAAGCTTGTGGCGACAGTAGAAAATAATGTGAAGGCAAACGTTACTAGTGTGGTGCCTGCAGCTGCGTCTAAGAAAGGCAGCGGTTGCGGCGGTGGTGGATGTAGCGGTGACTGTGGTAACATGGTGAAAGCAGAAAACGCTAGTGGCTGTGGCGGTGGTTGTAATGGAGAATGTGGAAGCATGATGAAATCAGCGGAAAACGCTAGTGGTTGTGGTGGCGGTTGCAACGGTGACTGCGGAACCATGGTGAAAGCAACAGAAAACGCTGGCGGTTGTGGCGGTGGTTGCAACGGTGATTGCGGAACCATGGTGAAAGCAACACAAAACGCTAGTGGCTGCGGTGGTGGTTGTAATGGAGAGTGTGGAAACATGGTGAAAGCTGCAGCAAATGCTGGCGGTTGTGGTGGTGGTTGCAACGGCGACTGCGGAACTATGGTGAAAGCAACACAAAACGCTAGCGGCTGCGGCGGTGGTTGCAACGGTGACTGCGGAAACATGGTGAAAGCAGCATAAAAATGTGGTTGTTGCGGTGACTGATGTGGAGAATGAAGAAAAAAGTGTACAGAAACGCTTAAACGACGCCGTTGTGGGGATGATAACAGTAAAGTTTGTAATAAGTTATGTTTTTTTACTTTTGACTAATAAAGTTTGTTGTAAAAGTTAATTATTTAAGTATAAACTTAAGCCTGTTCTTAATTGGGCCTAAACCATAAGAGTTTTACGTTATTGATATTACCAAATAGTCAAATACCAAATGTGGATTTTGGTTACTGTTGAAAGTGTGATTAATGGAGCTGTAAATAGTCGACACGTGTTGTCTTTAAACGCATTGGATACCCACACGTGATGTATCTTATTCCTACATATGATCGCATGCACACACGACCTTTGACTTTATCTTCTTTTTACTCGTAGACAGACACGTGCTTTGTTCGAGGACATTTGGACACCTGTCTATTGTTTGTTCGTCTTGTTTAGCAGATTACACAATCCTACGGCTATGCCTGTGGCTTAATTATGCTAATTAGTTGTTAATTTGGTAGTCTTAATAAACTAAACATAAATTTAATACAAAGGTCACCGGCATAAGCGGAAACAATGGGTCCCTTTGTCGTCGCACTGCCCCGCAAAATCTGTGACTCAAAGCAAAAGGTTTCTCTGTTATTTAGTTAGGTTTCTTAGATCATCCCTAAAATATACTAAATCTTCATTACGGATTATAAGTTTAGAATATTGATGCTGCATGAGGAATATAAATATGGTAGTGAATAGTGATCACTCATCATTCATCTTTTTAAAATATCCAGATTGGGTTTATGTTGTTTGGGCAACTAGAACCTTGCAAGATTCAACGTAGAATCCATAACATTTCTATGATGTGAGTGGCTATCTTGGTGTTCCTAATACCTTACAAACTTGTGAGACAAGCAAGATTCTATTGCAATAACAAAGGTTTCTGCTCAGACCAAATTAGCTTAATAGTGGAAAGCAACGATCAACAAACATTTTCAAGAGAATAAATAGTAAGAACCGTGTATTCAACATTGTCTATATATTCGAATATATGGGTCTTAACTTATATACAAGAGTCTGCGTCAAAGTGTAAGCACAACAAACTCTTGAAGGATCAAAGATCTTATACCATACCTTCAAAATGAAGCCAAAATCATGAAATTCTGTAGATATGTATAAATTTCTCTATATGGTAAGACTCAAATGTAAATTGTTGTCTCAAAATGCCAAAAATGTGCAGTTTATGCTGGAAAATTTGATAAATTAAAAGCTTATGTTCAATCGAGACTAAATGTCAATAATGTTATGGCAATAGATTATCAATGCATGTAGCAGCAACAATTTTTTCCCACTGAATAATGAAACACACATCAACGTCGGTTATTTGAATGGGATAACTCATGTTCTCGAAGCCATTAAGAATTTGGACATGATGGAGTTGTAACAATTCTATGCCTATTTGGCACGTCTCAAAAGCATTATAAATAAAATAAAATGAAACCCTATGAATAAACTCAAGAGACAAGAGAGGTGGTAGATAATCTTTGGCTGCGATGCGGTGAGAGGAGGTATGATGTGAAAGAAAGGAAGCGCGGGTGATGATGGAGAAGGTGACAGGCCTGTCAACTTTGCAGCTGCAAAGCCTGATTTGTTTGTTTCCCTTCTTCTCTAAGCGTGCCTTCCAACGTGTTCCTTTGATCATGACCTCAAAATAGGAACATTTCATTTCATTTTTTAACAAATATTACTATTCACTTCTCTCGTTTTCACATTGATTGTGTTCAGTGTTCACTGCTCTCATTTTCACATTAATAAGAATTTTGTCCGTAGACAAATAACATGAATAAAAAAATTTAGTAATCAGTAACTTTTGGTTGTAACCAGCAGGCAAAACCAAGCTCAATTGCTGCTTTATTGTCTCTCCATGTGTTTCCTCCTCTGTCTTTCTTTTATAATTTCTCAGTACTTAATTAATAATTACTCTTCTCTCTCTTAACACTAATTAACTGTTCAATAATTTTCCGAATTTACCCCACTTGCTTTATTGCTCTGCCCTACTTTTTATTTTCTTTTTGTGAATTTCCATTGGAAATATGCATATTTTTAGACAGACAAAATTTCAACAGATATGTGGTCCCATAACTATCAAAACTTAGATTATATGGAAAAATATTAAATTCAATAGGTATTTTAGACCACTCAGCCTCTTATATCTTGGATGGTCCCATTTCTACTTAAATTATGTTCTTAGGTCTAATATCAAAATCATACACGAAAACAATAATCTGAGTATATGTTTTACTTTCAATTTGTTTGGAACCTTATCTTAATGAATTATTACAAAACAAATTAGAACACACGCATGTTATTTGTGGACCAAAAGCAGGGACAAAACAGTCATTTTAATACAAATCTGACGAAAATTAAATAAACTTTGCACTTTTCTTTTAAGCTTCGTTCCAAACCAGAAACCTGAAACCATGTTACCCGTAACAACGACATGTATTTATTATTATACTCTTCCGCGGATCCAACGACTATGAGTCTCTCTCATCTTACTAATTCTCCACCGTTAGATCTTATTTACCGTAGACCCCACCATATTCAAACAAAGCCTGCTTTATCCTCAAAAGCCCATGCTTTTGTGTTTTATTACCGAAACTGCCACTCCTTCCTTGGTTTTTTGTTTCTTTCTCTCTTCTTCTTGAATGTTGCGCTTTTGTTAAGCTTTCTGGGTTCATTTTCCATGGAAGGACCTTGAGCTCTGCTTCTTTCTCTTCTCTCTCCAAAGCTCGTGCAATTTGTTCTCTCACTACACACACACACACACACTCTCTCTCAATCGTTGGTTTCATCCTCTACTCTGTTCGTCTTCTCTCTTCAGGTACTAGTTTTTAGCTCTATAACAAAAAACTTCCCAAAGTTCTTAACTTTTCTTCTGGAATTTTCAGTCTGTTCTCTTTTTTGCTTCATTCTTATAGTTTCTGCTTATTTTTCACTTGGGTTGATGTTTTTTTCTCGTAGCTAGATGTTTTTAGCTTCGATTTTTGAGCTAAATTTCTTAGGATTTGTAGAAATGCAGAAGAAAAATTAGGGTAAAATCGTTCTTTCTCTGCTTGGTGTTTCATGAAAAAAGTGAAAATTTATTATAATGAAGATGAATGAGCTCAAGGAACAAAAAAGTCTGAGTTTTTAGACTATGGAATCTGAAAGTTACAATCTTTCTCATTTCATTGTTTCCTTTTAAGCATCCCTAATTTTTGATCTATCAACCGTAAAGTTACAATCTTTTTGTAGTTTAGATCAACTTTGTTCAGATTGAGAATCTTCGTCATGCATATAGATAAAGATTGCAGATTTTGAGTCATTGGTTTTGATTTTGGGTTTGTTGTGAAGCAGATAAAAAGCAAACGTGTCTTGGAAACTAAAGATCTGATGTCTTATCGATTGCTAAGTGTGGATAAGGAAGATTTGTCTACATCACCACCAGCTTTGAAGGAACGCAACTACTTGGGTTTGTCTGATTGCTCCTCTGTTGATAGCTCAACCATTCCAAATCTTGCTCAAAGCTACAGACTTGAGGCTACAGAGCTGAGACTAGGCCTTCCTGAGTCTCAATCTCCTAAGAGAGAGACCGATTTTGGTTTGCTAACTCCAAGAACGCCTGACGAGAAGCTTCTCTTCCCTCTGCTTCCTTCAAAAGACCATGTCTCTCCTGCTGCTACTACTACAGGGCACAAGAATGTTGTCTCTGGCAACAAAAGAGGTTTCTCTGACGCTTGGGACGAGTTAGGATCTGGAGGAATCAACATGATGCTTTCGCCGAAGACCACAGCTACCAGTAAGGATGTCAAGAAAAGTGTTCAAGAAGAAAGAAAGATCGGCTCGAACAATGCACCTGCTGCTAAGTATGTATATATGAGAATTTTCTTGTTTTGTTTATGATGATGACTCAAAGTTGAATCTTGTGGTTATCTGTCTTATGGTTTTTGTATTGTAGGGCGCAGGTTGTTGGTTGGCCTCCGATCAGATCCTACAGGAAGAATACAATGGCGTCTTCTACTTCGAAGAACACTGATGAGGTTGATGGGAAGCCTGGTCTTGGTGCTCTGTTTGTGAAAGTGAGCATGGATGGTGCTCCTTACCTGAGGAAGGTCGACTTGAGGACTTACTCTTCCTATCAACAATTGTCTTCTGCTCTTGAGAAAATGTTCAGCTGCTTCACTCTTGGTGAGATACAAATCCTTGGTTCCATTGTAAGAGGCGTAGAGAAGAAAAAGGAAGTGATTTTTCCTGTCTTGTTTGTGATCTCAGGTCAATGTGGACATCATGGAGCTCAAGGGAGGGAAAGATTAAGTGAGATTAAGTTGAAGGATCTTCTTCATGGATCGGAGTTTGTGCTTACTTATGAAGACAAAGATGGTGATTGGATGCTTGTTGGAGATGTCCCATGGGAGTAAGTTTCTCTTGAACACAAACTTTTCATAACTTTGTTGGTTTCATGAGTTGTTTCCGGTTAATTTCAACCATTTGATAAAAAAAGATGAGTACTTTGAATTGAAGTTGGTTCATGCTACTGAAAGTTCCCATCTTTTGGTTTTGTTGTTCTGCAAAAGTTGAATCCTTGTTTGAAACTTATTTGCAGGATATTTACTGAGACATGTCGGAAACTGAAGATCATGAAGGGTTCTGATTCCATTGGTTTAGGTAAAGCCATTTTACTTTGCAAGTATTGTTCTGAAATCCGAATACTAACTCAATGTTGATTTGCTTTTGTTTCAGCTCCAGGGGCAATGGAGAAATCGAAGAACAAAGACCAAGTGACTCTCCGGGTTTGAAACTAAGAGGTTCATGACAACAACACTATGCACAGATCCAATGGTTCAGTCTTCTTTAGTGATGATGTTTTATGAAAACTCTTTATTTAGTCTTTTACTAATTTGTGTTGTAAGACTTTGGAATCTCTTATTCTGTATGTGCTTGTTCAAGAAACAAATACATGCACTTGCTATTATGTGTGATCCACTTTGATCTTCAAGACTTGTTTTTTCTTCATGTGTTTTTTATTTGCTTGCTGTTTTAATCGTCTTGTGAAGATTAAAGACAAAACCTTTTCTTTTCTTTCTCTCTAGACTCTAATTATATGCAAAACTTTTGATTTGTTTATTGTGAGTACAAAAGTCTCTTAAGTGATAATTAGGATAAAAGTTGGTTGCTGATGGGTAATCCTGTAGATAAAGTCTATAAAAGAGCATATTTTCACACAAAGTGGGCAATCTCAAATCACGATATTTTAACTACAAAACCAGAAAGTGGATAATTCTGGATTAGCTTTAGAATAACCCCAATAATTTGTCTTCTACAACTTTCTTACAAGAGTTTATAAAATATTTAAAGAAAGTATTGAACTTTGAACTAAAGGTCAAGATTTTGACATACTATCTCTTCTGTATGGCAACTTTATCCTTACCATTTGCTTTATTAGCAAAGTTTTCTTAACACGGAACCAAGATTTATCTTTACATCTACAAATTATGTGTAAATTCAGTAGTCTTTAGTGTATTTTTGTTCACAAAATCGATCAACATGACACAAGTTCACATGTTAGAGCTCTCTCTTTTTTTTGTCTAAGTTAGAGTTCAATTTATTTTTCACTTTCTATGAATTTGATATTTGTACCAAAATGTACCTATTCATATTCTAGTTCTCTCCAAAAGAAAAGAACATTAAAATACTTTTTGATATATCGACATCAATGTCAATTAAGTCTTATCAAAGATAAGAAAGTGGTTTGCACAAATACAGCACTTCTAAATGAGTTTGTGGTTAGTGCACTTCATCATTGACTTTGTTTTCTAATTTGGTTGTTTTGCAATTCGTAAGAACAATTATATGGAGCACATTTCTATGGTTTTTTAGTGCTTTTCTTTCTTATGGAACCAATTATTTATCTTTAGAAATCTTATCGTATTATAGTGAAAAATGAATAAAACTTAAAAGCCTTAGAAAAACTGAACCGTCCTCTGACAGCCACTTCAAATTTGTAGTTGTGAAGTTAAAGAAGGCATGCTTCAAGGTTATCCTACTTGCCAATTGGGATACTAGACCAAAAGTAAAAAATGCAGCTCACATCACAATTATTGATGATTGGAAGTGATGATGATGAAGTGCTCAAATTCTATTGGGTATAAGCCATTTACTTTGCCAATATTTCCCCCATACAATCTGATTACAAACTCAATGGCTTCAATTTATTGTTGATTTGTTGTTGTTTCAGCTCAAGGGCAATGGAGATTTCAAAGAACAAAGACCAAATCACTCTCAGGGTTTGAAACAACGAGGCTCAAGAAAATAAGAAAAAAAAAAAACACTATGCACAGAAAAAACACTATGCATAGATATTGTGGTGTATATATCTTAGTTTAGTAGTTAGTGGATAGAGAAGAATATTGGTCACGATTTAATGGAAGGTAGCAGCTATTATATATCCTTTGATTCTGAGAGTTGATAGAAAGTTAAGATTCATAGGTGAGGTCTTAATCTCTTCACAATGACTATACACCGTTTAGAAGAAAAAAATTCAAATAAGAGATCATTTAGGATCTATCTAATATCTTACGAATTCTTACATTTTCTGGTTGGTAAAGATTGGTTTGTTCACTTAAATTTAACAAATTCATAATGAATACATTGGTGCAAAATAATGAATATGAAAGTTAGGGTTCGTAGAAGAATTTGGTTTCTTTACGTAGCTCTGGGTATGGTGGTAGCTATGAATACTTTAGTTTGGATTGGTCTTTTCCTATCAAGATATTTGGTTTTCTTCCATTAAATTGTGATCCAAAAAGACTAACACCAAACTAAATTTAAGATGTTATAATTTTTTTTTTTTAAAAGATGTGTTATATTATTTGAAAACCAAACTATCTAACACCAAAAAGTCCAACACCTTTTTTTTTTTGTTGAGTATAAATCTTGGTACACATTCATGCATGCTTACTCATGACGGAAGAAAAACCCACAATTTCAAGCTCATTCGATATTTCTTTAAATGGGACAAATATCTATAGTTATGTAAATTCCTCGACTATACTTCCCAAATAAAGAAATACATATTTTAAAATACTTTGATGATATATATAATACATGGTTATGGACCTATGGGTTCGTATTATTAATAAAATAAGTAATGGACCACATCATAATAATTTAATCGCCATAATTAGTGTATATAATACTTGCCAAGGAAAACTATATGTATATGGATCGGTCCACAGACCATATGGTGTGTCTCCCAGAACTTTTCTTCTAATTAAGCTATACTTTAGTCAAATTATTCATATTATATACACTCCAAAGAGCCACTATCTTCTAAATTTCTAATCCTCTGGCTCTACTCATTGCACTCATTCCTTTAAGCGTAACCAACCAAATAAAATACTTTATATTATGTCCGTTTCCTCGAATTTAATTGATATGGCGTATTTATTAGATTGATACATAATTATCTGAAGACAAACAACTAGTGTTTACAATAATAGATACAAAACCGTTGACCATATCATCCATATATTTGGTTTGACTAGTTATCTATGTTTTTCGTATACAATACCTATACGCGTTTTATCATGTTTACATTTTATTGGTGACACGATAACAAATTACTAAAGTACGAATTTTATTTTATTTGTTTACATTAGAGATTCTAAGTATAGTCTTACGTAACTAAGAAATTCTAAACTATCCGATGGATTGATCTTTCAAAGACTATAACTTATTACTAGACATCCAACGAAACAAAAATCTCTCTCTACATCCGATTATCCAAAAACATGCGAAAACATCCAATGGAACAATACATATGATAGTTAATAATGGGATAGTGATAGTTTTGTTTCATTGTGTTTGTGAATTGTGAGACTGTGCTTTTTTGGAAAATTATATATACATGTTAGACAAAAAGACGCCAAAAAAGAGTGTTAGACAAAAAATTAGTTTTATAAAGTATAAGATCTTGCTTGATTCTAGCATCTCGTTGAAAGGTCAAAAGATAGATGACTTCATTCAGTTCGATATAAAATCCTTTCACTTACCCACGCTATATAAAAATGATAATTAAGTTACACTTAACCTCTTTCTTATTCAGGTTTCCAACGACTGTACTATAGTTCAAATATTAAGAAAATTTGTTGAAAAGAAAATAATTATATTTGTTAGAAACTGGAGCTGTAAGTTGTAACTAAATAACTTTACGTGAGTTATCAGTTTACGATTTTAATTCAATAGTAATAATACTCATGTATTTTGGCGTATTAGTTGACGGTATTTCACTGTCATCTTATGAATAATGACAAATGGTAACAAATGGAATTGACAAATTTGTTTTTTATTACTAACATGGCTAGAGTGGTCTAACTTTATTTTCACCGGAAATTTGAATTACTAAAAATTGCCTCATAAAAATTTAAACGAGCTGAATTTTTCTATTATGTTAATTTTTTCTGTTCCGGTGAAGCACATGGACCAGGAAAAAACCAAACACAATTTTCTGCCACATAGGGAATGTGCAACATTTGCTATGATCAAATGATAAATAGAATAATAGGAGAAATATTATTCCCAACAATATCTTTGATTATGTCTTTTATATACCTCCAAAAGTTTATATAGTTTGTTTATCCATTGTTAACAACAGTGAAGCCAAAGAAAAAAAACACTACAAAATTATTAATACGGTCGTCGAGCACAACATTCCTTACATGATTTATGACAATAACATGTTTGGTAGTGTATTACTATGACAATAACATGTACTTAGTATTCAAACTGTGATTAAGTTTATGTACATATATTAATTATAGCAGACCAAAAAAAGGAGGTAGTAGTTTTTTTCCGTTGGACATACATATACTTTGCTTACGTGAATTACGAAAATAATGTATTTAAAATGTGATTAGTTTATGTACCTTATCTTAAGACTATACGTACATATATGTCTGGTCCTGGAACATACAAAATAGCCAAACACGTTGTACGTAAAAAGCTGACGAAAAAAAAAAAAAAATGTAGGATAAAAAAGTGATAAGTAGCAATAAATATTAGAGATGGATAGAGATAAATAAAAAATGGACCGACCCATTACAACAATTAAAAAAATGTACAGAGTACACAGTCTAAAACAGTAGCTATGGTTTTTTTTGGCGTCTCTGTAATAAATTGTTCTGGGGATCTTCGTCTGATCCCATGCCATTCACTATCACCACATTCATTTATTGATGCTTCATTATCTTCCTTTGTTTTTTTCTTTCCCCCGATCGCTTTATTTAATTCGTACCATATTCTATAGCATTGATCTTTTGTAGTCGTAGGTCGAAACTTTTGTTTTTATTTAATCTTGATAGTAACACTTATCTTTGGAGATATGTAGTAGTATTCAAAAGGGCACTTCGATTTATTTGATGTGTCATGTGTCTTTTTATCTATAGAGTGTTCTTTTTTATTCACCATTACAAACATGAAAATGTTGAAACGAAAAGTGGGATCGTACGTAGTTACGTTAAAAGTGAAAATTGATGAAACTAGTATTTATCACTTTTAACATTTTGTTACTGCACCTACCGTTATTGTCATAATAGAACCTCATGAATTTCAGCATTATACAGTTAGCGCGCAATAAATATCTGAACAAATGTAGGTATAGTTGGTATTGTTACAGTGGCAACATGTTTATTTTCTATTCATCAAGGTGATGACTTATCGGATCAAGACTTGATTCGAAACATTTAATGTTTTACATGGATCGATATATAAACAAACAAAATGGCTCACACCCATATAGATCCAATAATCGATTATCTTGATGCATTGTATACTTTCACCGAACTGTAGTAACCCAATCATACATTTTCCATATCTACTAGCAGTCTAACACATTAAATTCTGTCAAAGATCGAACAGTGTTATACAAAGAACGATCAATCAAAGATGAGACAAAACTTCTGAGACTTCGGAAACATATCATCTATAACAATTGTTATAGTTAAAAAACTATTCCCAAATAGTGTGTGATTCTGTATTAACAGTAAATCCTTTTTTACAACATTAATGGTGAATCTTCTTATTAATTATCGATGAAACTATAATTACATCTTATGACTTATGAGTGACATTTTTTTGTTTGGTCAACAGAGGGACATGTTCCTATGGTAAAAACCGTGTACATAGTTGAAAACGTTACCCTTAAAAGTATGTGTACATAACATACCAATTACCATTCTATCTTTACTATTTTTGAGTTAGGTGCCACACAAACTTCATTTCTAAAAAGGTTAGTATCAGGCCAGCGATAGTAGCCTATATAGCTCATAAGTTTGTCATATTTCTAAAATTTTGTAATATTAAGAGCTTGCATATGTTTTTCATTTTCAAATTAGGTGCTAAGCCAATAAATCACTAGTCTATAATTAATCATTTTCACTTTCAATTTGTTTCTTAAAAGATTAATATCACTAGTCTAGAATTGCCTCTAGCCAATAAATTTTCTACATAGTCCTGATTAATCCACTTTTTTTCAGATTCATTTTGCTCAACTGCTTATAATATAGGATAGAAGGAGTATTAAGATTACTACCAAGATCAATCATCTAACGATTATTAACCTTGGGAAACGAAAAGCAATTACACAGAAATGCAGTAACTTTTAACAATTTACAGCTTTATCAGAAAGAAAACAAAAAAATCATATCACCAATCTTCCACTATTATTGACAAAAGGAGACTCCTTTTTAAATTCAACCCCTCCCACCTTCTCTTTCTCTTCATCTCCATTTTCTTATAATCCCAAAAAACACTTTCTCAGAGAAAATCTCAGTCATTACCACAACGCACGAGCCACGAGGTAGAAGAAGAAAGAAGAAAGAAGCAAAACATGATTAACGGCTGGAGAAGAGCCTTTTGTACTTCCATACCCAAAGAGAGAAACGACGATGACAACAACGACGACGGCAGAGTTGCTGATTCGCCGGGAAATCAACCTTTCCGCCACAAATCCACCTCAAAGTTTGGATTTTTCTCAACTCCGTCAACTCCTCGTTCCGACTCCGGCATCCACAAACTCCGTTGCCGGACTTCTGTAGCCACCGCTTCTCCGTCTCCGTCTCTTCCCGGAACTCCGAAGCTAAAGTGCAGAACCACCACCACCACCGCCGAAACAACTCCAATCACAACGCCGACGAGAAGCCTCGTCTCTTCTTCTCCTAAATCTCCGGCGAGTTTCTCCCTCTTCACGTCCAGACTCCGATTCAACAAAGTAAAGAGTTTTCAAATTCTGTTCCTTTTCTAAATCATTTGATTTTAGCTGAATCTTTGATTTAATCAATTTTGTTTCTGTTTTTGTTCGAGCAGAGTAGCAGCAACAAATGTGGAATCTGTTTACAGAGTGTGAAGTCCGGTCAAGGTACGGCGATTTTCACGGCGGAGTGTTCACACACGTTTCATTTTCCCTGCGTTACCTCACGCGCCGCCGCGGATCATAACCGGCTTGCCTCATGTCCGGTTTGCGGATCTTCTCTGTTGCCCGAAATTCGAAATTACAGTAAACCGGAATCTCAAACCGAGATTAGGATCCGAGGAGAAGTGAAGACCAACAAGTCGTTGAGAGTTTACAACGACGACGAGTCTTTGATTTCGTCTCCGATCTCTCCCGCCGGTTTTCACACCATACTCGAATCCGACGAAAACGAAGACGAGCTGATTAACGGCGAGTTCAGTGGATTTTCCGTTAATACTCCGTCACCTTTAACGGCGAAGCTCTTGACAGATCCTTACTCGAGAAACGTAGACGTTAAGCTCTCGCCGGAAGCTGCAATCGTCGCCGCCGGAAAAGGTTACGAGACTTACTCCGTCGTGATGAAGGTGAAATCGCTGCCGTTTCCGACGGCTCGTGGAGCGGCGCGTAGATCTCCGGTGGATTTGGTAACCGTATTAGACGTAAGCGGGAGAAATTCCGGTGGAAAATTGGAATCAATGAAGCGAACGATGAGGCTTGTGATATCGAATCTGAGGGAGACAGATCGTTTGTCGATCGTCGCGTTTTCGTCGAGCTCGAAGCGGTTATTGCCGTTACGGAGGATGACGGCAAACGGGAGGAGATCAGCCAGACGAATCGTGGATATCATTTCCGTTTCCGGATCTGGCTCCGTCGCCGGAATCGGTTGCTCCGGCGAAGGAATGAGCGCGAACGACGCGTTGAAGAAAGCGGTTAAGGTGTTAGACGATCGCCGGCAGAAAAACCCTTTCACCACCGTATTCGTGTTAACTGACCGTCAAGCCCATCAGGCCCAATTAGCCCATTCGAAAATCCCCGTTCACACCTTATGGCTTGGCGCGTGGGACCGCGCGTTTTCAGAGGACGCGTTTGCGAGAAGCATCAACGGTTATTTGAGTTTGTCTGTTCAGGATCTCGGTTTAAACCTCGGGTTAGTTTCCGGGTCGGGTCAGGGAGAGATTACTTCCGTCTACTCTCTTTCGGGTCGACCAGTTTGGCTTGGAACCGGTTCGATCCGGTTAGGTGATATGTACGCTGAGGAAGAAAGAGCGTTGCTTGTGGAAATCAAAACACCGGTTAATTCTTCAACAACGAGTAGGTCCCACAGAATCATGACCGTTCGATCTCGTTACGTTGACCCCACGACACAAGAAACAATAAACCCGGAAGATCGGGCGCTTCTGATTCCTTCTCCTATAACCGTACGATCATCATCGAATCCGAACATCTCACGGCTCAGAAACCTCCACGTCAGCACTCGAGCCATCGCGGAGTCTCGTCGGCTAATAGAGCGCAACAATTACTCCGGAGCTCAGAGATTGCTGACGTCAGCTCGAGCTTTGCTGGTGCAGTACGGTTTGAGCTCGAGTGATACATGCATACGTGGCTTGGACGCCGAGCTTGCAGATCTTACTGGTGTGAGAGGAAGACACGTGGCGTCATCGGAGAGCTTAGAGCCGCTTACTCCGACTTCGGCTTGGAAAGCGGCGGAGAGGTTGGCTAAAGTGGCGATGATGAGGAAACATATGAACAGAGTCAGCGACTTGCATGGGTTCGAAAATGCAAGATTTTAGTTTTTCTGATATATATATTTCCTTATTAGACTCTAAAACTTGTGTAATAATACAAACAAATATGTAGAGTGGTGCATAATGAAGTTATAGTTGGTCAAATTAATGATAAGATTGGACATGAGTTGTATTTATACCGTTCAATGTGATACCATTGATCCATTATCAATTAACATATCAATCCTAAATTCACAAGTGTTAGAGAAAAACGAGGATGTTATTTGAATGAAAATCTGACTAGAGATCTTCCATTTTTGATATAGTAAACCTGAAGGATGTCAAAACGCTCAATGTACACTAATCATGAACCTGAAATGATTTTTCGTTGCTTTTCTTTTAGATGTGTACTATTTTATAAGAACTTTCGTTGCTTTATAATGATTTAAAGTGAAACTTTATAGGCAGAGCATATATTCTAAGTGTACTTCTTCATAATGGGTGTTACATTATAAATACTACAATGTACTAAACAATCGAGATGTAGCCTTTTCGCGGCTACAACAATAATCAAATTCGTTGGATCCAATGATTCAAACTCGATGGTCAACAAAATATTTTCTTAACAATACGATAAATTCTCAGCAATAAATAAGTATGAAGAATAATTGGGATTTGAGGGTATAATTTTAACGGCGGCTGTGATTGTTTACACGTCTTTTTTTCCTTTAAAAACTCTTCGTTTTTGTAGTGTCCTCTGTTACGCACAAGATGTTTATCACACATAGTTGAAGAAACCGATCAATCACTTTCTAATGAATAAAAACGTTTTTAATCGAACTAAGTGTTATATAATTTTCTTTTTATTCGCCCGACTAACGTATACAAACTTCTAAAATCTTGGAAAACTAATCTACCATCAGTCTCTCAAACAGTGAGAAACAAAATTGAAAGGCAAAAGTATTTTGGAAAGTATATGTTTTGTCTGAAAAAAAGCATTTGTTTTGAGAACGTTGAATTCAGATAGCGATGGTGCGTTCCACTAAAGGGATGCACAATAGTGGTGCGCACGGCTATATCTAAAAGGTCTCATCATATACAAACAAACAAGTCCAAGATTTAATTTCATTTTAAAGAATAAATATTTCTTTAGTTTCATAGTAATTTTATATCATTAAGATTAAGTATCTACACGAACAGGTATAGCCGTATAGGTTAGGTTTATATCTTTGAAGTTAAGTATATACACGAACAGGTATAGATTAGGTAGACCAAAAGCCAAAGTTAAGGAAAAAAGTCATTCACAAATTGAAGTTAGTGGAGATTTTTCAAATCAACATGACAACATAAGTCGACATCAGTTACCAACTTTTTATAGTATACTAGTTTGTTAATAAGAATATCAAAGAGCTCTCCCACAAGTCACAGACACAAGAAGTTTCATGTTTGGGCCTTGGAGTGTAAAATAGCATTCTTTTCATGGAAGCAAACCCATAAAGAGTTGTGTATTACGAGTGAATGACATACCAAATTTTAAGGCTTACATTTGATACAGATCATAGTACCAAAATTATTCAGATTACATTAATAGTTTGATTATTAATGTAAATCTGTATTTCTAGAACAAATATATGTCTTTCTTTTATAAATTACATTCATCTGAATTAGATAACCACTTTAGGATCTTACATTTTACATTCGGCACCTGTCAAAATAAAATATTACTACAAAATGAAAGCTATACAACAACTGTCCCAAAAAAAGGAGAAAAGAAAAGCTTAACATCTGTATATATTCTGTAGATTTAGCCAGAGTTTTTTACTAACCAAACATTAAAAATAAAAAATCGGATAAGCGTTACTGATTTGACAATTTAGAATTATGATGATGATGCAACTTATCATCTTTATATATACTAAAGTTTTTCACAATCTCCAAATATTTATTCATCTTTTCAACTCAGCAATCAAATCATAAAAAGTAAACCAAACCACCACATGAGCCATGGACTCAAAACGTACGCCGGTCAAAACGGTCATCGGCGACGGAGAGCTACTTTTAGGCTCCTCCAGAGAAGAAGTCTCAATTCTTTTGACCAAAAATATATTAAAAAAAAGGAAGCAAATCTCTTTGTTTTTTCTTACCGTCCAAGCGAAAACCCTAAATTAAGGAAAAAAACCATTAATTATATAATATATTTTGCCATTTAAGAGAGATATGCGAGTGAGAAGGATTTGGATGTGAATCATGGCGCACATTAGCAATAGTCTCTTTTTGTTTCTGGGTCCTTCGGTTTCCTTTGTCTTCCTCTTTATTCCCCTCCAGAAACCTAAGCCCACGAGACCAGAGCGCCTCTCTTCTCCTCCCTATATCTCATTTTTTATCCTCTTCGCAGCTTTCAGTTTTCTCACAGATCTACACAGATCTTCCTTCTCTCGATCGCTTTTTTTTTTTCTCTTAATTGGAATCGTCCGATCTCGTCGAATATCATCGATTTTTCGCCGGATTTCATCGATTCAAGGTCAATTTCAGGTATTTTCTTCACATTTCCGAGCAGATCCGTCGATTTTTGATGTTTTTTCGGTGAAATATATCAGATCTGGGGATTGTTTCATTTTTTTGGGTTTGAATTCATTGAATTTGAATGAAGTTTGAGAAGATTTTCTGGAAATTCAGTTTTTTTGGTCAAAAGTTCGATTATTTTTTCTTTAATTCAATCAATATGTGACGAATCATAAACTTCAGATTCAGATTCATATTGAAGTTGTTTCTCTTTGATCTGGTTCTCTTAGATTTGATCAGTTACCAGCTGTTTTTTCATGTTCTTATCATAATTCAATCTGGAAATCGATTTTGTGGGTTTTTTGTATTAGCTCAAAAGGTTCGATCTCGATTTGAGATGAATCCTGTTTTTAACATCGAGTTCATCGCCAAATGTTTTGTTCTTCTCTCTATAAATCAGTTAGATCCGATGAAAAACCATCTCTTTTCTCTGTTTCTTATCATAAACTCCGTTTTTATCTGTAAAAAATCGAACTTTGGGGATATTTTGATGTCAATTTCATATTGAAATAATCATTTCTTAATGATTTTTTGTTGTTGTTTACAGGAATTTGCTAATTGGTGAATAAGGCCATCATCTTCCAGCAAAGATGCAGCGCTATGAAGAAGTAAGACTTTAATGTGATTTGTTTTCGATATTGGCTTAAAATTTAAGATCATACACCGTTTAACATGATTCTCTGTTTTGAAGGACCTTGATGAAGAAGCTGGGTATGATGACTACTACACCGATGATGATGGATTAGAGCAAGATGAGTATGAGGACGAGGAAGAAGAAGACGACGATGAAAGGCCACCCTCAAAGGAAGAAATGGAATATCTTGAGTTACGCCAAAAGTTGAAGGATTCATACAGGAAGAACATGGGCAAAGGAAGTGCTAATGCTCAATCTTCTCAAGAGAGAAGAAGAAAACTCCCTTGTAACGAGTATGTGGTTACTATTCAGTCACATTTCTGTCAAGTTTTCACAACATTTTGGAATGTAGGCTAATTGTGTTTTGTTCTTTACTTTTCTTTTGCAGTTTTGGTTCCTTCTTTGGTCCTTCACGGCCTGTGATTTCGTCTAGGGTTATTCAAGAGAGCAAGTCCTTGCTAGAAAACGAGATACGAACAGCGAGAACACCGAGCTCATCGAACCAAATGGTATGCGTTTTCGATCTTTTTTTCCTCTCTTCACATTTTGTCATTTGAACATGTTTGGCTGATGGGATTGATTTTGTGTGGTGTTTCAGAAGAAGAGACCGCTTCCAACGAGCAATTCAAGCGCTAAGAATGTGTCACATGAGAAACGTCCTAAAGTTATGAATGAGGTGAGAAGGAAAGTTCAGGCTCTTAAGGACACAAGAGACTATTCCTTCTTGTTATCCGATGACGCGGAGCTTCCTGTTCCGAAGAAGGAGCCTCTCTCTCGAAGCGGCTCATTTCCGAGTTCCGGTACGTTGTGCCTACTGAGAAGCGTTGTTTGCTATTTGAGTTATTTTTAAAGCATACCATTTTCATGGAGATAACTTATACAGGTTTTTTGCAAATGTTCTTCAAGAGGCTCGTTCTGCTCAACCATCAGCGAGACCTAAACAATCATCAGGTATCAATGGTGGTGGTAGACCTGCTCAGGGTCCCCCTCGTGAGGAGAGGAGACCAGTTTCAGCGAATGGGAGACCGGCTTCCTCTGGCGGTCAAATGAATCATCCGAGACCGGTTCCCTCGGGAAGCCAAATGCAAAACTCGAGACCGGCTTCCTCTGGCAGCCAGCTGAATCATTCAAGACCGGCTTCCTCAGGGAGACCAGCTTCTTCAGGCAGTCAGATGCAAAACTCAAGACCGGCTTCCTCTGGTAGCCAAATGCAGCAAAGGGCTATGTCCTCTGCTAGTCAAAGACCAGTTTCCTCCACAAACCGTCAGGCACCAACAAGGCCACCAGGCTCTACGATGAATGGCCAGTCAGCTAACCAGAGTGGCCAATCGAATTCCAGATTAGAGTCTCAGAGATCAGCTCCTGCGAAAGCTCCTATGGAAAATAGGAGACCAATGAGCAGCAATGGAGTTGGTCCTGGTCGGTCAGCGTCCACGGGAAGACCTTTGCCTTCTAAGCCTTCATTGGAGAGAAAGCCCTCCATCTCGGCGGGGAAGAGTTCTCTTCAAAGTGCTCAGAGACCGTCCTCATCGAGACCAATGTCGTCTGATCCAAGGCAACGGGTGGTGGAACAGAGAAAGGTGTCACGCGTTCCTGCGACATCCAGGATGATCCCAAAACAGTCAGCGCCGAGCTCAAAACAACAGGTACTTTCTTTTACTTCACTCTTTGGCCAATAGTCCAATACAAAAACTAGCAGAGGCACTGATTTGTCAAGTAACTCGTGCAGATGATGAGCAGGCCGGTGCCCAAGAGACCTCCTTCGCGTGATATGGCGGATGATCGAAGGCCGCTGAAGAAGAAGAAGCCTGCAAGAATGTCAGAGGATGATAAAGCATTGTTTATGATTAGAAACATGTTCAAGTACTGCTTCTCAAACTCTCCTGCTACTCTATAATCCATTACATTATCTTTCTAAATTCTCCTGAGACTTATGGGTTTTGTGTGTTCAATCTCAGTACCGGTCGTTATGCTGGGCGTGACGATGATGACAGTGACATGGAAGCAGGCTTTGAAGATATCATGAAGGAAGAGAGACGAAGGTACACATCAATATTTTTGATCACGAGTTTCGTTTGTTTGTTTCTTTCTTAACTGTCTGTTAATGTTGGAATTGGTAACTGCAGTGCGAGAATCGCAAAGGAGGAAGATGAAAGAGAAAGACTTCTCGAAGAGGAAGAAGAAAGAAGAGAGAGACAGAGAAAGGCTCGAAAGCTTGGCCGTTAAAAGAAGTTAGAAGAATCTTTTGCTTTTGCTCTTTTTCTCCTTTTAGGACTTCAGATCTTTTTTTTTATAGTGTACTCTCATTTGAATCTCTTTGGCCGCTTGAGAGGCAAAAGAATACAACTTTTTTTTTTGCTATTCAAATTAAGGATCTTTTTGTTCTTGAATTGTACAATTTAGTAATAATATCTTCATTTCGATCACTTCAGGAATTTGTATTGGTAACCCTCCAAGTTAGTGAAAGCTTGATTCTTTTTCGGGTAAAAACAGAGGATAATGAATGATAAAGGATAAGAAATACAGAGAGAAAAAGAATATATCTTTTCACGTGGAGTTGCTTTGGCTTTAGTTTAGATGATGATAAAGTTTCACCTTCTAAAACTTTAGTAATGTGATTTTAGTGATTCTTTTGTCTATGAGAGAGATCAAAAATGGTGAACAAAGAAGAAGAAGAAGATTGTCGTCAGCCTTCGAGTTGTTATTCTCCTTCTTCTTCTACTCCTCTTGCGGAGTTAGAGACTGTTCGAAGCTTAGAAATCGTTGAATCGTCTTCCCTCTCTCCCGTTTGGTATATTGTTCTATGCTTAATATTCATTCACTTTCTCTCTGGCTGCCATGAAAGTCTAGATTTTGAGCACTCCCTTCACCACAAATCTTTGTTCTATTTAAGACTCTGAAATCTCATTTTTGGTTTTCTATAATGAGTTTGGAATTTTGACAAACATACCTTGATTACTGGCTGCCACACTTTAACAGGTTACTTGTGATCTTTTGCATCATTAACTTGTTAAACTACATGGATCGAGGCGCTATAGCAAGCAATGGTGTCAATGGCAATACAAAGAGTTGTAATGATAAGGGCAAATGCAATCCTGCAACTGGAATTCAGTTATCTTTCGTTTTATCCTAATTTTTCCTTTGTTTCAAGAATTACTACTCAAATTTGTTAATGTTCTGATGTAAAAAAAGTTGCTTCTTTTAGGGGACATTTCAACCTGAGTAACTTTGAAGATGGTGTATTATCATCTTCATTTATGGTTGGACTTCTTATTGCATCACCAATCTTTGCTTCATTAGCAAAAAGGTGAGAAACACTTCCATTTCTGTTTCTCTCCCCTCTCTTCTCATGTCTTAGAAACAAAAATAAGCTTCTTGAAATGGTTTCTTGTTTTTTAGTGCAGCTTCAGTCCATTTAGACTTATCGGAGTAGGCTTAACTGTTTGGACTATTGCAGTTCTTGGCTGTGGCAGTTCCTTTGCCTTTTGGTTTATTGTCTTATGTCGCATGTAAGCTGATTTATTTTTCTTGTTTTTGTACCAATCTTATGACTGATTTTCTGAATTACAAAACAGAGTTTATTGTTACTCGTAGGTTTGTTGGTGTAGGTGAAGCTTCTTTCATCAGTCTTGCAGCTCCATTTATAGATGATAATGCTCCTCCTAAACAGGTTTTCTCTTTGCTCTTCCGTTTTGCAACATCTTATATGAAACCATTTCTGCTAAATTCCATATCTTCTTTCACAGAAAGCTGCATGGCTTGGAGTGTTTTACATGTGTATACCAAGTGGTGTTGCTCTTGGTTATGTCTATGGCGGATACGTAAGTACTTTTAAAAGCCTCTTAACAATTTTTGAAACGCATTCTCTCTGATTCCTTCTTGTTGGTTTTTAGGTTGGAAAACATTTTAGTTGGAGATATGCGTTTTGGGGAGAAGCTGTTTTAATGGCTCCATTTGCTCTTCTTGGTTTCTTGATGAAACCTGTGCCGTTAAAAGGTCAACAACAAGATTTGTCTTCTGTTAAATAAGCAAGAACATTTTTAAGATATTGATCTGATAAAGGATCCAATGCAGGGTTTCCTTCGACTGATTCGATAAAGACGGTTAGAACAATTGAAGTAACGGCTTTTGAAGATTCAGAGACATTGAAAAACAACAAAGGTAATGAGATTGAGCATGATCAGTTTGAAGTCTCCATTGAAACTTACAAGTAAGTCGATATTCATTTATCTTCGTTTTCTTCCATATGTTTTTATAGTTTTATCAAGTCTTTAACTTCAAATGTGACAGGTCTAGTTATGCAAACGCGATTTGGAAATCGTTTACTCGATTTGCGAAAGATATGAAAGTTCTATGTAAAGAAAAGGTCTTTGTTGTTAATGTCTTAGGTAAAACAGTTTGTCCTCTTACTTTCACTCTTCTTCTGCTTCTTTATCTTATTCATTGATTGATACATTTGCCTTGAACAGGTTATGTATCATACAATTTTGTTATTGGAGCATACTCTTATTGGGGACCAAAGGCTGGTTACAACATTTATAAAATGGTAAAACATTCTTTCATGTTGAGGGTTTCATTAAAGATTCAAACTTTGTTCTGATAAGATTTCTTCTTTACAGAAAAATGCTGATATGATCTTTGGGGTAGTAACTATCATTTGTGGGATCGTTGGAACGTTATCAGGAGGGTTTATACTTGATCAAGTCTCTGCAACAATTCCAAATGCTTTCAAGGTTCTAAAACAACAAAAAGCTTTTTTCTTCTTGTTTTCGGATTATTCTGGTTCTTATCAAACCGTTCTGTTCTTGGATTCAGCTTTTGTCCGGAGCGACTTTTCTTGGGGCGATATTTTGCTTCACTGCATTTACCTTAAAGAGTTTATACGGTTTCATTGCTCTCTTTGCGTTAGGAGAGCTTCTTGTGTTTGCCACACAGGTAAATAAAGCTTTTAAAACTTTGAGCATTGTTCTGTTCTTGTAGTGTATATTGCAGTCATTAAGAACAGTTTTGTCTTTCTTCTTCTTCTTCAGGCTCCTGTGAACTATGTGTGTTTGCATTGTGTGAAACCAAGTCTAAGACCATTATCAATGGCTATCTCCACCGTCGCGATTCACATATTTGGCGATGTTCCTTCTTCTCCTCTTGTCGGTATTGTTCAGGTAAAAACAGGTGTAATCTTGGGGAACAAAAAGAAACAGAACTTTTGGGAACTAAAATGCTCCATTGTTATGTATATGCAGGATCATATCAACAGTTGGAGAAAAACAACGTTGATCTTAACATCGGTTCTGTTCTTAGCTGCTGCAATATGGTTTATAGGTAAAAAACACATCTCAATTCTTTAACCTCAACAATAAACAGAAGCAAGCTTTCTTGGCCAAATAAAGAACCTGTTTCTTTTATGTTTTTGCCAGGGATATTCATAAACAGTGTAGATCGGTCTAACGAAGAAGGTGAGAACCCAATGAGGCAACAACAATCGACTCCTAACTCCATAAACATACTTTAGCTGTTTGTATTCATCGTTTTCGAGAAACAGATTCTGCTATATATTTTACATGTGGTATCATCAATCTTACTATTGAATGAGTAGTGAACAAAAAAGCAGATTTCTGATAAGTTAAAAGAAATGTAACATAAACATAAAATGTTGATTCACTGAACATAAAAAACAAGAAGAATCTGAATATAAAAATAACAGGGAAAAATGGATTTCGATCAATAGAGCCTACCAGTACATTCAGAAGAACCACAATAGCAAATCTTCTTCTTGATATTACCTTTAGAGTCACGTACCTGATCAATCATGTAATTGTAATGGTAAGTGAGCTCTTGAAGCGGAGGTATATTATCCATCGCAAAGAACATCACATGAGGGATCCTCGCGTCTTCATGATCATACAACACGTTCTGCGCGTACAGATTCGGCGAGCAGCTGTGGTTTATAAACCTCCCAACGTTCCCTTTCTTCGCAGCATCAATAGTGAATCCGCTAGTCTCTTCATCATCTTCCTCTTCCATGGACCGTTTCTCAGGCATTAGCTTCGACATCCCTTCAGCTAAAGCGTTCTCGTACTTGTTCCCAATGTCGAATAGATACTCGTCGTTCCCTGTTCTTCTCTCAGCTTCTTTATCCTCCAAAAGCTCGCCTACGTACTCGCAAATGAAGCTACCGGAAGAGATGGAGCCGAGCGATCTCACTCCCCATCCTCTTGACTCTGTTTTGAAGATCTCCAACGGGAACCTGATCCCTCGCTGCGTCACTCTCAGGTAGCAAGAAGGAGGGCATTTGCAGAGCGGACCACACTCGTAGATCAAGTTCTTGGCGCTGACTATGGCTCCGTCGTAGTTGTACGGTATCTCTCCTCCGTTCTTCGCCACGCAAGCGCATCTGTTAGTCTCCGTGCACCGTTTCGTGCAGCCGCATCCCTTGGGAGGAACCGGCCTGCACCAGTCAGGGTTTATCATCTCCGCCGTGTAGATGAACGAAGGAGGCTTCTCGTCGTCGACTTCGTTGATTGCCGAAATAGGTAATCTCTCTCTCCCTTCACTAATGTCAAGCCTGCAGAGACCAGGACGGATTTGAGACTTCTTGGACTTCTTCACCACTCTCCAAGAAAGCTCAGGTTGTCCAGGAAGACGCCTGAGTTTATACTTGAAGACTAGCTTCCCGTGAGAACCTGTCTCTTGCCAAAACTCCTCCACAACGTATAGTCCATCGTAGACATAGTTCCTGCGTTTGTTATCACCACCTGCAGATTCCAGAACCGTCTGCTTGTGGCCTTTGATGACTCGAACCGGGTTCTTGGCTCTCACGCTGTTGGCTAACGCGAGGTTTCCGGTTATCAGCTTCTGGTCTTCAGGCTCTTTCTTCTCCTCTCCTTTCCTGTTCTTGATCATCACGTTCCCGCCTTGTCCCGTGTAAGTCAAGACATCGGAGTTGTCAAGATCGTCGTCATAACCACCTGAACATACAATACTCGTGGCGAGATTCTCGTCACCGACTTTCATGGAATCGATACCGCCTTGGCTCGGTTTGTGCACACCGAGAATGTTGAGCTCCATCCTGAACTGAAACTCATCACCAACCTCAACACCAGGGACTGTTCCCATAACCTGATTAGCAGACTTTGGAATGATCCCTTTGCTTTTGAGAATCTTGGCAGCTTCGAAATCCACTCTGTAGTTCTTCTTCTTCTGAAGCTTAGGCTTTGCTTCTTCCTCCTGCATAAGCTTCCTACAAGTTCCATGGAAGAGACGTAGAATCTCCTTGACTTTGTTCCCGCCGCTTGCACCAGCCGGACGCGAAGGAGGAAGCCCGACCTCTAACGTTCTACGATGCTTCCGATCAGGAGAGTCGTCCTCTCTAGCATTCTCCGGACTTGCCCTCTTGCGTGAATACAAATCCCTCTCACTGCTCTTAGATCCTTCACCATACTCTCGACTCGTCATCGTCTTGTTAACCTTCAACGGTGCATGACTCGCAATACTTTTCTTCGCCTTCTTTCGACCCGAGACATGGATTGGTCTCGGTTCCAATGGCTTTGTGCTCTTAACAAGAGACTGATCAAAATTCTCTCTTTCAAGACTTTGTTCATCAGTAGAAGCAACCATATCTCTCTCACCAACCTTAAACTGTCCTCCACCGTCTGGCAAGCAGACTCGCAGTGGCTGAGCCTCCACCGGCGGATTCGTCGCAGGTAGATAGCTTATGTTCTCCGGCGAATCCCCACCTTCTTGCGCAAACATCAATCCATCAGATTCCTCCTTCATCGGTTCAGGTTCAGGTTCCGGTTCCACAATGTTAACTCCTGTGGTCACCACAACATCATCATCCTCCTTCTGCATTGTTCTCAGAGGCTCAACATTCACCGGCTCAGCCATTGTGCTCTCCAACACATTCCCATCTTCCGCCGCAACCACCTTTATTTCATCAGATCCATCTTTCACCGGTTCCGATTCCGGCTTGTTTACTCCGTTAGATTCAACTCCTCCGGTCACCGCAACAACTTTCTGTCCCAAGTTCTCTTCCCCTTCAGCTGAAGAAGACTCAACCTTAGGAGCTTCAGAAGACTCAACCTTAGCAGCTTCAGAAGACTGAACAACATTCCCGTTCTCAGCTTCGGGTTTCGACGATCTCAGCCGAATTGCGATCGATCCGCAACCAGGAGGGAAATCTCTGACGGCGAAAACTTTCCGGCGCTTGTACTTAAGCAGCCTCGTGGAAGCGGTGTTGTTGTAAATTCCGTTCTGCAAAACATTGCCTCCTATCTTCTCTTCGGAGACATTACCGTTGTTGCTCGAAGAACTCACTTTTGATGACTCTTTGTGGATCTTATTCTCCATTATCCCCATTCCAAAACTCATCAAAGAGACACAAACCACGAAGATGATATTATGAAGAACACAGAATTCACCTGGATTGTTCAGCTGCAAACAGATGAACAAAATTGAGAAAACTCAAATAAAAAAAGTGATAAACAGATCACAAAAACGAAGTATGAGCTATTGAAATTCCATAAAAAATGGAAATTGTTGATCGAATTTCAGAATCTAGTTTCCTTCGGTTTCCAGGATTTCGCGGAAATGAAAGCGAAAAAATTTCGAATTTTGACGATCTCTGTACATCAATCGTTTGAAGAGAAACGCGATTGAAGCAATTTCAAGATCAAATTCGCGTCTCAGAGAAACAAAAAGGGAGGAAACAAATCAGATTCAGGGTAGAGAGAAAAAATACCGATGAAGAAGCGATTGAAATGGCGAAGGAGATTGATTGATGAATCGAAATAAGAATTCGATTGGGTTGAAGTTATAGTCGAATTTCGAAAATTCGAATTAAGCTCAAATCGGGAAATTTGATTGAATCATTTGAGCAGAAATTTTTGAAGAAGGAAAAAAAAAGCAAAACCAATTTGCGATTCTGTTTCCTGATTTTGAGAAATTGAGCACAAAGAAACGTTGCACAGTGCCACACGATTTACTTGCTACTTTTGACAGTGCCACGTCGCAGTGAAGTAATGGGTGACGTGGAACGTGGTGGTCCCTATATGATTAATTTCGGAATATTTTCTATTTTACTTAACTTTTAACAATGCCACGATTATTTATTTCCTAATTTCCTTTTTAGGTTTAATTTATGACATTCGTATAATTTTGCGAAGTTTGCAAAATTTTGGGGTTGAACAGATTCAGATCCACCAAATAAAAACAAAATTAGTAATGGAAGAGATCGATTAATCTCTAACCAATCTTAAAATTTTCATAGAAGCCTAGAAGATTGGTATTAAGTTAAAAAAAACTAATAAAAAGTTTGAATCTTCTCATAAGTTTAACAAACTTGCAGATCTATATATGCCAATTGCATATATCCTAAGATTTTCACCTCTCTATTAGTTATATGCTAGAACTAGTCACATGATAGAAATACAAAGGGGAAATAAGAGGAATACCTTTTTCCATTGTAGTGGAGAAGTTTTCTTGAACGAATCTTTGTATGGAAGACAAAATCGTTTTTAGATATGAGTTTGGTTTCTCCTCTCTTTACATACTGTTCCTTTATGTGCTATATTTGTTATGCAATCTAACTATGAAGGACTAAAAACATGTATATATATGTGGAGAGACGACCTTGATTCCTCAGTATGATTTTCTTAGGTTTATCTCTATTTATCAATATCAATGTTGAGAATGATTAGGAATCAAACCTTTTTATTACCAGTTTAACCGGTTACAATATATATGAAAAACCTAGCAAATATTAATAGAAAATAGTTAGCTATCATAGAAATAGTAAGTATTCCTTTTTTGTATCTACAAAGGAATATTCTTTAGAGCATGCTTAACGCACGGAACTTATAAAAGTGCTTACAAGATTTTTTATTATTAAAATTGGGTTAAGCAACACTATTAAAAATTCTCTGTTTTCTCTCCTCTAATGAAGAGTGCTTATAGGGGTGCTTATAGAGTCTCCTGCACCTGTTAGCATTTTCAATATGCATCTGCATTTTCACTGGTTCCTTGACAAACTTATCATCCACCACTGCAATTTCCAAGTAAAAAAAACACAGTTATTGCTTAAGGAAACAAGAGATGTGTTTTAATTAATCTATTAGTGGAGGGAGATAGATGTGTATGTTTGTCAAATCAAAACAAAACAAACAAAAAAAGAGGAGGAGAAATGCATATCAAGAGAGGAAACTTTTGTTACAATTTTCAGCTGCTTGTCGTATGTTACATACTTATATATGTATGATCGATTGGTAATAAGCACAATGCTTTTATTGCATCTGAGAG